GATTTCTTCCAGCGCATTCGCTTACATATCAATAGACATTGCTCATTCGTTAGTTTCCAAACAATTTTTCGTGTGTTTAATGCTTTGTTGTCGTTTCCATTGAGTCGCGCGATCACTTGTGAGTACTGTAGTCATTCGCTTTTACAGCTTCTGCTGTAAAAAGGAAATGGCATGCGAAGGAGGCACGCAGGCAACACTCTCAATTATGGAAACGGATATAGAAAATTCAATTCTCGGTGCTCGTGAGTTAGAAAATTATGAACAGCGCCAAGATTATGTCGGGCGTTCTCTCGCGAAACAATAATTGCAAAAACGAGGAAAACACTCCATTGTAAAGCGGGATTTCGCGTAATTGAATGGCTGAGCATTGTTTAGATAAGGGCGTGATTTCCCACCGAACAAGCGAACTGCTGTAATGCATTTGAACAAATCAGAAAAATTATCTTTCGACTGTAGATACCATGCGTTACGCATATCAACAAAAACAGACTCATCTACACGCAGTTCCATTGCCGAGACTATATGCTTTCCCTAAGAAAAAAATGTGAAAGGCCAAGTGGGCGTACCTATATATAACAGTAGATAAAGTTCACGAGATTGTCCGGATTATTTGCCAACCGCACTCCAGGCGAAATACACAAACAAATCCTCCACATATATCGGTTTCTAGAAAAGAATAAGAGAAGGACTCGCAGGAGAGGCATAGAAATAAACGGATATCGTCAATTTCAGCGACAAACTCAGCTGCGTCTACAACGTGACCTGGAAATGTCGAAGGAGTGAGGGTTATCATGCTTAGAACGGGAGGCTCTGCTATTGACCGCTGTTTCACGAATTTAATGGCCAATTGTTATGTGCTTTCCCGTTCTATCGTGCTGTACTTGCGTTAGGCGCACATAACACTGCGGTGGCACTGCCGCTGCATGTTTGCGTGCGAAAGCCATTACTGTTCGGCCAAGGTGTTTAACTGTAGTTTCGCCATGGGAGTTGGTACGTTATTATTACATTGTGGCAACGAAGATGCGAACAGCACTCAAAATTTTACGTCTAATAACATTAATTATGCGCCTCTTCTGGGCGTTTGAACGTTGTATGCGTTGACCTTCCAGCTTTTTAATTAAATTCAACGTAACATCAGAAGAATGAAATTACATTTGAGTAATAGAAAAGGTCAAGCGTAAATGAATGCTCGTTAGGTGTGAGATTCAAAGCTACAATGAAAAGTCATTGCTATTCAAAAGGAAAATTAGCAAAACTTGCAGATCCTGAAAATTTCAAGACCATACAATAATTAATAAATCGATAATTACGTCACTTTTATGAGCTTATGATCCAACTTGAAATGATAATGTTAATGAATTCATAAATTCCATATTGTTCCTATTCTTTATGTGCTTCTAAATAATCTTGCTTACAAAAATTCAATGCAGAATGCAGCACTTAAGATTACGTCTGACTATACTCGTCTTTTACTACTTCCTGAAATTCTAGAGTAATTGCGAGTTTATAGATTTTCATAAAAACTAATCGTATACGCGATAACCTAACCGTATACCGTATCAGCGAATCAGCGGATCACGAATTTTCAGCCGAAAAACAATCTTTCAATTTAAGAAAATTTCAGAACCTCAACGATCAGTAATGATAATATATCCCCAAGCTTTCCCTACGCTCCCTTTCTAAACAACGAAAGTCAGTCTAAGACTACCCGTACTTCGTAATTGGAAAATTCGCGAGTCCCAACCGCCCATCAATTTTCAACGTTTCGAATTTCCGGACAACGACGACGACGCGAACACAACACGTCACACGCAGTAATCACCATCAATCATCGGCCAAACTTGAAAAAAAAATGACCTTATTCCAAACACGCGCGAGCTATACATTCGATAATAGCAGCAGAATCTTAGAAGTGGATTCCGTTAATTAAAGAAAGTTTTATCCTTTGGGCGCAGCAGTCGATAGGCATAGTGTCAGGCACTCAGGTGAAGTGACAATTTTTTCCCTCGTCCCGTTGTAAATTGCGATGTCAACAGGGTTCTCGAATTGGAGGTCAGAAGGAAATGGCATCGCGAATTCACGAACCACCTCCCGCTAAGTGCATATATTTTTTAACCGGTAAGTAGCGTTATTCACGCTTTCGGAGCGTTGATAAAGTGTACATTAGCTACCGTTATTCTTTGAAGAAGGCCATGCTTGTACATATACCCTGCAGTTTGTTAGCTGTTGAATTTATATCGAACTACTTTTTTATTCTCGAGCCTTTGCTTATGTTTGGGAACGTTGTTTATTTATCTTGTGTTTGTAAAGAATAAGAATGAATCCTGTAATGGAATACTTCAACGTTGACAAAGTATCGGCAAATATTGTAAAAATATCATCTTGGTGTTGAGAGGTTATAAAATACTGAAAGGAAATTTTGATACGGAGCACTACGGAATTGTAAAATTTCTCTGTCTAAAAATTCTCGTTTTCATTCTCTTGAAAAAATACCCGTATTATTGGATCCATTAAAAGTTTCATACGTTACAAATGTCTGATGTATCACGGCGTATCATGTAAACTGGCACTGATAAAACTCGCTTCTAGGTATGCGTGATACTTAAAGCCATTTAGAAATGAATTTGTAATTATGTACTGTGATCGACAACTTTGTTATCAATGAAAGGGGTGATTGGGAAAATTTCAGATTGGAGAATCTAAACGTGCTAGTAGGAAAGAAGGTGGTTAATTATTGTGAGCCAGCACAAGCTGGAAATTCATTTCCAATGTTAGAATTTCAATGTTAGAAATCCATTTAGTTTTGAATTTGTTATTGTGCGAACTTCTTACAGCGAATCCAGAAAAGTTTTATCTGGTTTCTCATACCTAATTAGTACTAGTTCATCTCGCGATGTATACAACTGCTTCGAGATCTTAATTGTTTATCTAGATCGTAAGAATTTCAAAGCATTACTATACAAACCAATTAGCTTGTACAAACAATTAGTCTTGTTATGAGATCTTAATTCGTCTATCACAGATCAGTAATGTTACCTTTTCAGCGTTTCCTTATAATGCAATACAACATTTTCATAAATAAAAATATTGCTATTCTATTATAATAGCAAATTGCAGAATCATTTGATAAAGCCACTGAAATTAAAATCAAAGCTCATAAAAGTAGAGCTACAAGAAGAAGCCTGAGATGAGGATGTTAATGAGAAATCAGAGGAAGACGTGGCATCTCTCGACATCAGCCACTTAACCTATAGCGTGTCGGGTGCTGCGCAGCCTGCAGACTGCCACTCGACGATTAGCAATTCAAATTGCCAATCCCCTCTCCACCTTACACATTGATACTTAAAATCCGTTGCAGGTGGATTCATTAAAATAGCCTCTAACGTCTACACGCGGGAGTGAGATATCTAGCTAAATATTCATAAGCCGATCGCTGACAAACAGCCAGTCAATACAGTAAGGTTCACGAGCCAAGGCCATTCTTTTTTGCCTAGCTCTATGTCTCTACACTTGGTATTTTATTTGCATTGACATTCATTTGCAAACACAAGCACTTTCACTTGAATATTTTTAGTTTCATAAAGCATTGACGAAGAAAAATATATACTACCGATAGAAGTATTGAAAAATCTCAGAAGATAATTTAACACGATTAATTAATGTAGTACAACGGTTAAAAAGTGAACCTGTAACAAATGGACATGAGTAAGCACAAAAAAATCTGCTATCGTACCCACTTTGCTCGCACAAAAAGTCAATTACAGTCGCAGCGGCTCTGCTCTCCGCTCAGCGAACAAAATCGATCTGTAACACTTAGGACTTATTTTTCCTCTTCACTATTTTTAGCGACGATGCATCACGTGTCTGTCTATTTTTTCCATTTTTTTTTCAGAACTATCATCTTTTTCTTTCTTTCTGCCAGTGACAGATATCGCACAGACTTTACGTGTGTCTCTCTCTCTCCTTCTCTCTCTCTTTCTCTCTCTCTTTATCTTTCCCATTGTCTTTTCGAGCTGCCTGCGCGCAAAAAGGATATTATTGATATTTCATGCCACTGCTTTAACTACCTGCGTATTATATCGATTTGTACTATTTTACTCGCTCAACTGTCATGATAATAGAATGTTTTTTCCGTTACTATTTTTGATAATCCAACATTTTTACCAAAAATCTAGTCTTCTGAAAGAAAGTGAATAGACTTCATGTACTGTTTCGGATAGAAGAATTATATCCTCCCATTGAAAATAGTCTGCCAGTTACTTGTGCGCTCGCATTATCATATGCATACTTTGAAGCAGAGTCCAAGTATCTCTTGACGATCACTAGAATGAATATTGACGATTTTCCTAAACTGTCCCACATGAAGCTCTAGGCAAATATGTACTTTTCTTCGTCCTCGATATTTCGTCTAAGATAAGCTATGAGTTTTTTTTCACTACACCTACTACCAACGAAAGAAACCTCGGAAGAGACATAACAGAATAGACATATATATTTTTTTGAAAAGTCGGGTAGACTTTATTGAGGAATATTTATTCGAGTACTTTTATGATAACATAGAATTCAGTGCAAAATGTATGAGAATCATATAAAAATAACAAAAGGATTTTTTTTAATATTCGCAGAAACTATGAAAATAGTGAATCATTCAATCTTTTAGATCTAATCAAAATACTCATTGATCGTCTTTTGTGTGTGAATCAATGCTTCAAATGATCAAGCAATCAATGGTGAGACTTTTCGATCGATGAAAATGCATATGATCGATCGCTTCTATGTCAGTTCAAACATTTCCAATTAAAATCGCCGACTATGCAACAGTAAACTGAAAGATCTACTAATGTCTGAAAATATCCAACAATCCCAACAGTCGGTAAACTTGCTCAATCAGCTTACAAGCTACTCGCTAGATGGGAACACTAGAAACTGCAAAAATCTGTAAGGACTGTCAAAAATAATATTTGTAGAATATGGCAGGGGAGATATCACATCATATGTTTATAAGTATCTGCTAGCGTTTAGTGCAGTAACCACGATCGACTTATTCGATTACGGGTTTTATGTTCGCTATAGACTTGAAAAATTACAAGAATATCAGTAGATAATTGAAAATTATTTATAGAAATCCCAAGCAATACAGTTAGAAAGATTTGTGTAAAGAGAATTTATCCGAAGTTCTTTCTAATGATGTAAGTGTTAATTTATATATTATGAACAACAATTATTCAAAAACCTTTAACTGTAAGTTGAGATTTTATCGATTTCTTATCATATTCGTAATGCAAAATAATCGTTAAGAAACTATTTAAAATTATTATTAAATTAAGTAACTAGAGAGCTACTATTTTATTATATCACAATAAAAATACATATCTTTCAATATGTAAAGAAAATAGATAAAACACAATAGTTAGAGAGCGATCTATATTCTTATCTGGAAAACTTTCAAAAATTTCAACAAAGCAATCGCGAGAACAGTATATATCGTAGCACTTCATCAAATTTTAAAATATCGACTCGGAGTAATTACGGGCATTATTCAATGCGGATGGACTGTTCAAGATCAAGTGCATACGTGGATCCGCCTGATACATACAGCAGAGAAAGATACACGAGCATGCTGCATTGTATTATATCGGTCTTGGACTAATCTATTTTTAGATAACGGTTATAAACGAATTCATCAAAAGGACTATATAGTCGCGCGGCGAAACAACAGCTGTGCTTGACAATAATACACTGCTATTGATCTTGAAATTGTAAATGAGGGTCCTTTCAAAGTTCGCCTTGTTACTCAATATCCTCTATTATTCATTCCTAATACTCCTGATTTTAATATTAACAAATGTTGATTAATATTAGAACTCGTTTCGATAATTACGTAACTGTTGTTTCGTCATATTTGTTGAATACATTTTTAAATGACCACAGGGATAAATTACCGCCAACTTACGTCGAAGGCTTTCACGATGTGAAAGCCGTCAAAGCTATGGAGTACAGACCACTAGGGAAAACAGGTTTGTTGGTCAGCAAGCTTTCACTTGGCGGTGGAACATTAGGAACTCATTATCAGTAATTTATATAATAAATAATAAAGTTCAAATCGGAAATTTATGCCTATAAATTAAACTCCTCAAATTTACAGTTCTTTCGATGAGGAGGAAGCTATACAAACAGTTCAGACAGCTATAAAAAAAGGAATCAATTACATCGACACAGCTTACTGGTATGGACAAGGAAAGTCGGAGACATTGCTTGGGAAGGTAAATGAAAAAAAAAAGATTTTTCAAATTTTTGAAAAGTCTTTTAATTGTAAAATATATTGTAATTTAACTTTGACTGCTCATAGATTATATAAGACATTTTAAGCTACTATATATATGTAAATATCACCGTAAAATCATGTTAGGCACTCAAAGGAATTCCTCGTGAAGCTTATTACATAGCCACCAAAGTCGGAAGATACGAGCTTAATTATGAACACATGTTCGACTTCACAGCCGAGCGAGCGCGAAAAAGTTTAAAGGAGAGCTTACAGCGATTGCAAATCGAATATGTCGATGTCGTTCAGGTGAATAATTTTTCTTATAATATTAAACTAATGATCCGCTAGTAATACTGTTAATATTTAATATCGGAAGGTACATTAGTTGAAATGCTTATTTAACTACTAAAAACTAAACGACGATACCTTTAATTGCTGAGTCATTTTCAACCTAAAAAAATGTTCGTACTATGTCAAATACAGTAAATCTAAAGTACAAAATAAAATAAAAATGTTCATTATATTATTAGATACTCAAATGCTCTTCAGTATTCTAATTTTCAAAAACTTGTAAAATAAGTAATATTGTGTAACTTGAATTTTATAAATTTAATATCCGACATTTCATATGAGTTATAATCTTTAAAAGAGACAGCCATCGAGAAATACACGAATAATAATACTGACGGGAGTTATAATTCCATAAATATCAAATTATTATTCGAATAATCTCATTATCTAAGTATTAAATTAAGATTCATCAATTTCGAATTTCAGATCCATGACATTGAGTTCGCACCGTCTCTCGACATAATTATCACTCAAACACTGCCAGAACTTTCTCGTCATGTAGCTGAGGGTCGAGCTAAATATATTGGCATTACCGGTTATCCAGTTTCAGTACTCAAAGAATGCATCATAAGGAGTAACATCAAGATTGATATGATCCTCAGCTATGCAAGATTCACTCTCATCGATGATACTCTTTTTGACTACATTTCATTTTTCAAGGTGAAATATAATATAAAATTCACAATTATTGCTGATGAGAATACTCATTTGAATGATTAATTTAGGAACATAATATTGGAAAGTCGAGGACCTCAGGCATGGCACCCAGCTCATGAAGACACAAAAAAGTATTGTAAAGAAGCTGCTCAATGTTGTCAAGTATGAACATTTACAATTTTTTGTTTTCAAATTATCAAAAAATATATGTATACAAGTACTTTTAGCACAACGACGTTGAGCTAACTAAATTAGCACTTTGGCATTCTATTCAATGTCCAGACATTGCAACACACTTGGTTGGCATGCAAAACTTACAAGAGCTAAATATCAACTTAAATATTGTATATAAGGGCATAACAAACAAAGAAATAGAAATCTTGAATGAAATCAAGGAAACGTAAGTATACAAGCTTTTAAATAATCGCATGTTTATATCCAATGATCATTCTTCACACTCATAGCCCACATAATCAACTTAAAATGAATTCAATATTATATAACAAACAATGCTTAGATGTAACATTTACTACAGGTTGCTTAAAAAAGGGAAAATACTCTTAAAAGTCATTATCAGCAACACTACTCATAATCAGTTTAAATGTAGAATTAACTTTTACTATTTTTAACAAAGATATAAAAGATTTTTATTTTTCAATAGCTGTCGATATCGAAGACTGATTATATAGTCTTATATATTCTACTTGTTACAAAAAGATGTAAAAAACTATGATAATCGACACTTTGGTGAGTTTCAGATTTGTTAGAGAGTTTATAATTTACTATCTGAAAAAAACCTTGCAGAAACCCTAATTTTACTTTTAAAATAATTTTGTTTTACTGTATTGGTAGTTTGAAACTATTGATAAAAATTTTTTTCAGGTATCTATCTAAGATCAAATCAAAACATTGGGAAGGAGTTGAACTTGAAAACTACTGGAAAGCTATTAAACTCTGAACTCAAAGTTTATGTACCCAAATATATATCAAAAGAGCAATATTTTTATAAATAATAAGATTGTATCCTTTTTATATACTATTCAATGAGTAATACTATATTTATTAGAATCTGTGTAGCTAAAATAAACTTTCGATTAAATAATAATACTAAATATTCAAAGTTCAATTTTTTGATCACTACATAACTTCTATTTTAGTAAAATATGATAGAAGATTATCTTAAATAGTTTGTTATTAAAAATTGATATAAATAAGTTCTTAAACACTTTGGTTTCAAATTTTTTTTAATCTTAATTCTTCCTAACTATTATTACCTGAGATGTATTTATTTTTAAATGTTACCAGAAAGCTGTCTGATTGAAAATAGATTCTTAGGCAAGCTAAAATAGTTATCATTACCAGGTTTGATTTGATATGTAAGCTCATACATTAAGACTGTAATTATTGATCCCAAAATTGGCTTATGATACATTTGCTTAAGTTCAAATCCTTTTTTAAGACACAGTTCCCTACCAGCTTCAGTGTACTCAGAGGCAACAATGTTTGCACAACTGTAACCCTGCTTAACTGCAAAATCAATGGCTACCTTTAATAGACAAGAGGCTATACCTTTGCGACGATAACTTTGATGAACACATAAACGTTTGATCCAAGCTCCTTTGTCAAGATTGTGACTCTTCAATAATCCAACAGCTCCAACAATCTTTTTATTTTGTAAAGACACATCAATATTAGATTCCTTAAATTCCTTTTCATTCATTACTTGATAATGAAAGTCTGCAGGACTACTAGAACTCATGGAAGGTTCAAATGCTTCAGCCACCCAAAAACAAGAAAATGCATTTGACATGTAGATTCTACAAATAAAATGAGTATCATTGAAAAACAATGAAAAAATTATATAACTCAACTGTAACAACTTTAGAAAAAGTTTAATGAATTGTAAAAAAACTTAACTTACTTTGAAATATTTGTCACTTCTTGATCAACCTCAATCACCTTGGCAGTGAATGATAAATATGTTACTATATAAGTCATTATTATTACAACTGGTATGACTAACAGGCAAATGGTGAAAGGCATTCCAAAAAATATAAATGTAATTGCTGCTAGCAAAATTGTTATTTGGAAAGTAATCTCTTTAAATATATTCCTAACAAAGGCACAATTCTTGGAAGATAGAATTCCACTCTTTATTAAATCGTGACAATCATATTCATCTTCTGGTTTATAAGGTCGTACGACAATAATGTGGCTCATTTTACAATGTATCTAAAAATAATAATTGAATTTAATTAAATATTGAAATGATATTACGTCAAACATTTTCACGATTTAATACAAACTTTTTCAAACAATAATAAGTATCTAAACTAAGGGTTAGAAATGACAAAACAAAACAAAGCGTGCGAGTCGTTCAATATTACGTGATAATATGAAATCAGCCGCAAGAGTTTTTTTAATTAAAATCGAAATACTCGATATATACGATAATCAGTGAATAAATTGCCGCTCTGTTCAAGTTGGATCAGAAAAATACAAATTTTCAACATGGCAACTAAGCAGTGGCTGCAACTACTACAAGATGCTAAAAAGACGGCTATTATTCAAGATGGTAACTTAATTCTTGTATTTAAATTCACTTTTTAACAAAAATTTATTATGCATTTTAACAAAAATGTGAAATTTGACAATGACACATAAAGTTTTTTAAATATAGTGTCTTTGACATTTCGTGTAACCTCTTTGTTTGATCAATACCAGTATTTACATTCTGATTATAAATAACAAAATATGCTAATTTGATAAATATGTTATTGAATTTAAAATTGCAGGATTTTTGTAATTATTTATTAATTCAAATAAATATTTTCAAGGAAAAAAATAAAAATACAATTTCATAATTATTTATGAAATTTATACATCATTACAGTAGCATTTTAGTCATTCAAAAACTTTTTAGACAATTCTATTTTGTAACATGTTTAGAACAATATAAATTAAAATGCAAAAAATTTTAAAATTGCAGGCAAACGGAAAGTTCATTTTCTAATGGAAGATGGTAAAGAAATGGTAGAAGAATATAGCGTTGATACAAATGTTGTGATAAAAAGAGCATGGAAACAGAAAGGTAAATTAGGACAAGACATTGGCTGGGAGATTGAAGTTGGAGATCCAGAGCCAAACCGAATAGATAATCTTGAGATTGTAGGCATCAGGGAAAGTTCAAGTGCTGTATGTTGAATATTATTTAATAAAGTTGTAACAATTTAGTATTTTTATTTTAAACTTCTTGTATTATAGCCAATTGTTACAAGACGAATCACCAAAACTGCTTTAGAGTGGAGGATAAGAAATTTACCATACCCTAAAGATGTATATTCAGTTACTACAGAAGATGATGGAACAATAACTGTTCGTACTAGTAACAAAAAGTATTTTAAGAAAATAAATATACCTGATTTGGAAAGAGTAGGCTTAAAGCCAGAGCAAGATAGGATATCATTTAACTATCAGTACAACACATTAATAATTACAGTAAGTAATTCATGCTTATTCCACTGCCTTTAAATTAGTTCCTAGGCATTCGATATGTTTATTTATATAATTTTTTGAAAATTGAAAAAATTTTTACATTATGCATTATATCATTTTAACAATTTATATTTGTTATTCATAGTATAAAAAACCACCAAAACTTATTGAAATGGAAAAGAAAATTTTTGACATGATATCAAAATTGAAAATAGCGAAGGATGGAGATGTGCAATGCCCTACAAGTTAACAAATATTAGATTTTAGATGTAGTCTATTTGACTAAATAATAATATTTTGTACGAGAATTGACGTGATTTACAATGACGGTACGATATTTTACAAATCGTTTATTTTTTTAGTTATTCTTGTCTGCAAAAATGTAATTTATGATTTATTTACATACTCATCAGATTGCTGTTCAATGAATTCATTTTTGTACTACGTATACTTAATATCCACGTACAGTTTTATTTAAAAATTGTAAATAAAACAATCAATTTTTCACACATTTGAACAGCCCTTCGAAAAACTTATGGTGTTCCGATTCGAAATATATGCAGAACGATTATCGACCGCCACAAAAGCTATGAAGTGAGCGTGTAACGTGGGTAAAACTCGAGAGGGGGCGTTTGTTGGTTCTGCACTCTGCATGGTTCTAGTGGTGGTTTTGCTCGGTGTACGATGCTTTTAATATTATAAGACAATTGTTGAGAATTGATATTAAAAATGTCAAAATCAATACCTGACAGGTAAGTCCGTTAATTATTTCGAGTATTCAGCGTAACGGTTCAACAAAAGTATTTGTTGTTTGTTGCACATATCAATTTGAGATAATAATCATGTTTCGAGGTTATGTTTTGGTAACGTTGCCGCTCGACAACAAAACGTTTTGAGTGTTTCTATTATTATTTTTGGAACAGTGACATTAAATTTTTAAAGAAACACATAGATTGATTTACAGTGTGATGAATCGTGTTTGTTTTTATGTTAATCGTTTAGCACGGACGCGGTTTCTACCGCTGAATCAAGCTCATTTTGCTGTTTTATCAGCTCGTTTTGTCGGTGTTGTAATGTAACGCCGGTGCAACACGTGGCCATCAGATGGTGCCGTGTACACCGCCAAATTTGAATTCGTTTGAAGAAAATGAATTGCCTTTGATCCATGTTTATAAATAGATAAATAACTTTTTTTCAGTATACTAGTATTGATTAACCAAATAAAATTGTTTGCGCCCTAGGTGGTTAGATTACAAAGCATACGGCGATGTCATCACAGGAACCAAAATTATTGCCTTCAAAGTACCGCTTAAAGAAGTAAGTCTCATACATAATATCGCAAATCAGCAAATTATTTCTTTTTTCTACCCATTCCATCGGCAAAAATAGCTATGTTTATAAATGAGATGAAAACTTATTCATCTTCTCGTGCAGCAGAGATTCCCACAATAAGTACGTGGGTAATATATAACGCTTGAAAAAAGAAAGAGAAAAAATTGCGCTGTCGTTTTGTCGGTAGGGAGCGCCGAAAAGCTTTTCGGAGTACATATATGTACATCTTAAGAAGTCTGCTGGCGAACGTTTCGCGCGCTCGCGAAGTCCGGCATCATTTCAACGAAGTAGTCGCGCCCGGAGAGCTCTGAGCTGATTTATGCCGATGTAAATCAGCACTTTGGTGGCGGCGCCGACAGGTTTGCACGCTCCGTCCTCACCCTCCCTTCAAAGCTTTTTATTTTTTGCTTTATTTTTACCGCCACGCAGCTTGACGAATATCTGTTAAATTCTAAGGACAATTCTTGTTTTTCGTAAGTTGATGCTAGGAATCAAATGATTACAAATATTCAATTGTTTTAGTTTAGATGCTATTTTATTTTGTTACACAATCGCTTACGTAAACAAAAATAATCGTTAAAATTGGAATCGCGTTTTTAAATTTTTTAACAAGAATCTAATGCATGGAATGCTTGACATAGATACGAATGCTTATCAATATTTTTTACTAACAATTAGTTATAGTTTAAGTAAACTATTGAAACGAGTTTGCAGCTGACATTTTCAACTTATTACATATATATATATGTGTGTGTGTGTATATATATATATATATATATATATATATATATATATATATATATATATATATATATATATATATATATATATATATATATATATATATATATTGTATTGCAATAACAAGATCGCAAATATTTCTACTTGAATTCTAATTGAAAAAAAATATATTTATCAACATACAAACGGAATTCCGTGTACTTTGTTTCCATGCGATAATAATATTAAAAGAATATGGAATGTCGAATAATCCGATGCCCTCAATTTGTCAGTAAAACAGCATTATCAGTTTCAAAATTTCAATGAAAAGATGTGCGCAGAATGAAAAGCTCATAGAGACGAAAAAAAAGATCTAAGAAGACACAAGAAGTCGTTTGACTGGAGAAAAGACGCAACACGTGCAGAAATGGTAGAGATGTCACGCAGCGACTGCTCCTTTCATTAACTCTCGCCCGATGAACAGCATAGCAAAATTTTGATGACCCGCAACGTTCTTTTCATTAAAAATAACTTGCGCGACACGTACGCATCCATATTCCATCGAAGAAAACAAAAGTCACGTCCGTGGGAATCGACTTTTGACGATGTTATCGCGCATATAACCCTCCCGCGTTTGATTTACCGAGCATGTTTACGCTACACAACCAACGTTGGATAAGAGAAGGCCGAACCTTTTATTATTCGCGACGTCGTGTATTACCTTTGTTTCGGGGCCTTCTTTTTTCCCTTTCTTTCTCTTTATACCGCGTGTGGAATTAGTGGGAGTAGATAACGAATTATCTCCGAGAGAAAAGGACGTGAAATTTTCGCTGAATTGGCCGCACGCGTAAGAGCTGAAATTAAGCTGACTTTGGATTCTACTTTGGAGATTACTTTATCAAGGCCTTTTATTTGGGATATCTCTGTATTTGTCGGCTTTTGTTGTGGTGGCCTTTAAATTGCTGTGGTGTAATGGTTTGGTATACGATATCTTTGAGCAGAACTGTGGAATGTCTCTTTGTAGTTCACATGGATATAAGCAAAAATTAAATGTACATTCTGTATGATTTTAGTATTGATGACGCTATATACAATGAAACATTGCATTTTAAAGTTTAGAAGCAAAATTATTGTACACTTTGGAAGTTATTGAAATTCACATAGTGTCTACCGCAACTAAATTTGAAAATTTTGCCTCATTTCTTCCAGTTCACTAATATTTTCTCAAACATTATCATCACATCTTTGACAAAAAGAGTTAATGTATGGCGTGCGAGTCTGGTATTTATTACGTCAACTCCATTGAATGACGTTATTCGACACTCACTACTATTTATTCCAAGTGAAATATCCTTAGTAAAAGTTAATATTTTAACAAGCTATAAGAAAATGAACAGGTACGTCAAACGAAGCAGTTCGAATTTCATCGACATTCAAAAGCTCGCGATCCCAATCTATGTAAGCTAAAAACAATTGCACTTGCCGTTGGATGTCGCATCCTTCCAGTTATATGCCACGAACTTAGTCGTTTGTCACCCTCGCGGGAGTGGCAAAAAGTAAATCGCCAAGAGGGGTCCCCGTTACGCTATAACGCGAGATGCCCCTCTTGATAATGTTCTCTTTTGCAAGGCCTCCTTTTCCTCTCCTGCTTCCTTTTAATTTTCTTATACCAGAAACGATAAGAATCGGCTATCACGAAAAATATCATGCGAACGAGCGCAAAATAGAAATGTTACAAATCGAGAGGCATTCGAAAATTTCAATAATACTTTAATTCAATGTTATTTTTTACTCTTTTTTCACGTTAAAATTCCAAATCGACGTCATTACAAACAGGAATTATATTTCGGAGTATGCATCTCCACTTTTCGCTGTTTTAAATTTCCCACTTACATAGCTATCATAAATATATTTCTGTGCTTGCTAAAGCCAGTTCTATCGAGAACATGTACTGATAAGGGGTAAAATCAATTTCTCAATCGCGAAATCATTGAACCGAATGAAATATTCATCGATAAGACGTGCGATAAAAAGAAGACACAGACAGTGTGAAAAAAGGGCAACGCCGAACAATCCTTCTTGAACGAGATTCTCTCGCAGCAAAAAAGAAAACAAGATTTCGCGAAGTGAAAGTTCAAATTGTCCTTAAGATGTGTATAGTTTTTTTGACACGACCTCGGTTCGTATACAAATTGCCAATTGCCTACCTTTATCGATTTGACATATTATATACCTTTTCTCATTTGCTGACTTATTATTTCTTCTCATTTCTCCGCGTCTTTCCTTTACCGTAATCTTTACGAGTTTAAGATTGCCTGTCGCTTCAGCCACGCATATATATATATATATACACGGTATTTATAATTGTCTCTTCCTCGCACTCATCGAATAATTGACTTTTCTTCGTCTGACTTACTGACCGAGAATTTCGCACGCGGTGCATTTTATATTCTTAATAGCCGCGGTTCGTTAAAATTCAATGCGCTAATCATGCCGAAAATTGCGAGGCGTCATGCTTCGTCGGCCTCTATGAATTGATCACGACCGCCGGCTTTGTGCGTTGAACGGATGAAGTATTTGGATTATTCACGTCTGGTTAGGGGAGTTGGAAACATAAGAAGGGTGGTTTGTATTAATGATTCGCCGATCATCGTTCATTGGAGTTGTCTGTCGGACCGCCTTATCAACTCTCATTAACACATGAACGATAATTTCCTCGGAATTATGTAATCGGCAAAATAAATTCTGTTTGATTATCAGCCAGACTACGGAAAATACAATCGTTATAAATAATTTCATTTCAATAAATAATCAAAGCAATCCAAGTATGTACAACGGAATATTTCAACTACGTCATCATCCTCCTTCATAAAAAGAAATAAATACATCTGCAGTCATAAAAACCTTGCGCGCCCATCCACAGAAGACGAGAAAGAAAAAAGAAAAAAGTTCCATGCTTTCGGTGCACGCACGCGAAAAACAGAGGAGAAAGTGCTCGCGCCTAATTGATTCCAGCGTCTGGATGCGTAGTCATCCTCGTCGACGGCATGCTCTGCTCAGCGGGGGGCCTCCTCTCTCTCTCTCGCTCGCACAAGGTATCCCTGGGAATCCGGCGCTGCTCGCGTGCGGAGTGCCGTGGTGCGAGGGTGGCGGCTATACACACAACACAGGCCCTCCTCACCAAAAAACTTTTTTACTGCGGGGTCATCGTGCGCGCGTGCCTTCCTTTATTTTATCTTGTTCACCGCGTGGTGTTGTATTGTTTATTGTTTTACTGTTTTACAACTTGCAAAGACTTTTATTGATGAAAGGGGTGGTTGGATTGATTTTTAGAGCTTTTTTTCCCGCTTGGCAGTTCGGTTTTATTTCAGAAGATTTCAGCGGTGAGTTCAAGTTGAGTCAATATTCATCTCGACATCGATCGCGCGTCCAAATGTCAGGATAAGGATTTACGCGCTTTTCCGAAGCTCGACTCGGTTCGT